AGAACTTTTTTTTTTTTTTCTTTTTTTGAGACAGAGTTAGCTTTGTTGGCAGGACTAGAGTGAGTAGCTGTGTATCAGCCCTAGCTCACAGCAACCTCAAACTCCCTGGCTCAAGCAGTCTGCTGCCACCTCTCCTCAAGTAGCTGGGACTACAGGCATGCGCCACCATGCCTGGCTAAGTTTTTCTATATAATATTAGGTGGCCAATTAATTTCTTTCTATTTATACTAGAGATGGAGTCTTTCTCTGCTCAGGCTGGGTTTCAGACTCCTAGACCATGAGGTAATCCGCCCACCTGGGCCTCCCATAGTGCTAGGATAAAAGGTGTGAGCCCGCTTGCCCGGCTGGACAGAATTTTTAAAAGCACTCTGAGCTAGCTCAAAACAAACTGAATAGAGGACAATTGAAAAACTAGCACATTAGAATGTCTAGTAAATAAGACTCACAAGTAGTCTTTTTTTTTAGTACTTAAAGTATTAGAAAGTTCTTGGGTATTTTTTACCAGAACTTATTAACCAGAATAAGATAAATTGAGGGTGTACAAACTAGCAAATGATCTGTCATCTATTTTTTTTTTTTTTTTTTTTGAGACAGAGTCTACGCTTTGTTGCCCAGGTTAGAGTGAGTGCCATGGCGTCAGCCTAGCTCACAGCAACCTCAAACTCCTGGGCTCAAGCAATCCTGCTGCCTCAGCCTCCTGAGTAGCTGGGACTACAGGCATGCAGCACCATGGTTGGCTAATTTTTTCTATATATATTAGTTGGCCAATTAATTTCTTTCTATTTGTAGTAGAGACGGGGTCTCGCTCTTGCTCAGGCTGGTTTTTAACTCCTGACCTCGAGCAATCCGCCCGCTCGGCCTCCCAGAGTGCTAGGATTACAGGCGTGAGCCACTGCGCCCGGCCTGTCATCTATTTAATTTCAGTTCTGGGAAATTTCTAACCTTGTAATCATACAGAGCATTCTGATGATTTTCCATGAAAATCCTGCCAGAATGTTACTGGCTATCTAGAGAAATGAGGGTGGATGTGAAGTTTGGGAAATATTATGGCCCTATTGTAAAGAGGGAATGCATATATGTCTTGTCCTTTTGTCTTTTTATTTTTATTGTTTTGATAAAGTGGTGGAAGTAATATGTCTTGTCCTTTTGAATAAGAGTCAATAGTGCTTTTTAGGTGGCAGGGTGAGAAGTATGCTTATTTCCTTCAGTGTTTTTACAGCTTTAATTTATATTAAAGTTTAATTGATCCTCTTCTTCCATGAGTATGTATAGTTTCATATTGCCCTCACTTGGCTTACTCTTCTGTTGCTTTTATAATATAGGATGATATATATTTTTTCTTTTTGAATTTTCTTCTTCTTCTTTTTTTTTTTTTTGTTAGGACTATATTTTCTGGAAAAAATTGTTAGGTTGTAGCCATCAAACCTTTAGTGCTTTCTCCCTTTTGTTCTCCTAGAATGGAGAATGGTGTGTTGGGAAATGCCTTGGAAGGTGTGCATGTGGAAGAGGAAGAGGGAGAAAAAACAGAAGAATCTCTGGTAGAAAATAATGATAACACAGATGGTATGTGGAGTTGCACGTGACATTCAAGGGATGCGACGTGTTGTATATTTCTTTTATACAAGTGATGGAAATAGGGCTCTCTCTGCCCTGGACAGTCTCTCCTAAGATGTTTGGGGTGATGCTTGCATCTGGTGGAGACAGCAGTGGGTGTAGCCAATTACTGCAACTAACAACAGGCTTTTGTAAGAGGATAACTTAATGTCTCAAATAAATCTGGTTATTTAAATTTTTTTTTTAACTATGATAAAAGCAAGATTAAATGGGTGTTTTAAATATTACTACAACCTTAAATATTTTTCTGATGCAAGTTTTTTAAATAGTCTGTGCAGCTCAGTTATTTTAACAGCAATACTTTGGGAGCCCTTTTACATTTTTATGTCTAAAAGTTAAATGTTAATTTCTAACCTGAGTTTGGATACTAGAGTTTTATTTATCAGATGTGGGTCTGTAAGGAGAATGAAAAGCTTGGCATCTCTTGCCTAACTGGTAATCAGAATGCTTAAGTAAAATAATATCTAGTTTAATGAGCTTGGGTTTCTTTTGCAATAAGTTGCTCTGCTAGCTGGGACTCTCCCTTTTCTTTTCTCAAAAGGGCAGGTCATTTTTAGGCAATCTGCTAAAACTTGCTAGGCTTTTTGAGGGTTTAAAGGGAATGTGTTTTTAGTTTCCATTTATGTCTTTATCATGAAACTCGAAGACATGTTTATGCTTCATGTTCTTTAACCATGTAGAGGAAGCAAGGGAAGAGTTGAGAGAACAGGTTTATGACGCCATGGGAGAAAAAGAAGAAGCAAAAAAAACAGAAGACAAGTCTCTGGTAAAGCCTGGAACTGATAAAGAACAGGAGAGTGAAGTGGAAAAGGGTGGAAGAGAAGATATGGATATAAGTGAGCCTGCAGAGGAGCTACAGGAAAAAGTTGAATTGATTCCAGATCAGTTAATTGAAACCTCTGAAGAGGCAAAAGGATCAGCAGCACCAGGAGGACTAAATGAAACTGAGGTCATTTCTGGGAAACCAGAACAGGAAGCACCAGATGCTGAGGAAGAAAAATCAGTTTCTGAAACTGATATCCAGGAGGAATGCAGAGAAAAAGGAGGTCAGGAGAAGCAGGGAGAGGTAATTGTGAGCATAGAGGAGAAACCAAAAGAAGCTTCAGAAGAGCAGCCTGTTGTGGCTCTAGAAAAGCAGGGTGCTACAGTGGAGGTAGGAGAGCCTGTAGACCCTGCAGTCAAGCCAGTGGATGTGGGTGGGGATGAGCCAAAGGAGAAGGTAGCTTCCTCTGAAGATGAGACAGGAAAGGCTGTTCTTGAGCAGCTGGTAGAGCAGGAAGTACCTGTTGTTGAAGAGTCATCAGAGGTGACAACAGAGGCTGCAGAGGCCTCAGCTATGGATGGTGGATCAGAAGTTTCTGAGAAGCCTGGGCAGGAGGCCATAGTTCTTAAGGATGATGCAGTCAATGGACTGCCAGCTGCAGGAGATCAGACTCCCATTGAATCACAGAATACTTTAGAAAGACTGACAGAGACAAAAGATGGTTCAGGACTAGAGGATAAGGTGAGGACAAAGTTGGTTCCTAGCCAGGAGGAGACTAAGCTCTCCATAGAAGAGTCTGAGGCAGCTGGAGATGGGGTTGATACCAAGGTAGCCCAGGGAGCTACTGAGAAATCACCTGAAGACAAAATTAAGATAGCTGCTAATGAAGAGACACAAGAGAGAGAAGAACAGATGAAAGAGGGTGAAGGTAACCGGGGGATATGCAAGAGCTGCAGTGGGTGGAGTACATTCTGGATTTGACTCACTAATCATGGGTAAAAGTCAGCCTTCCATTCAGGATTTTCCGTCTGCCTTTGGATTAGGAAAGGGCTAAATGAAAATGGGTGTAGTTTAAGAAGGTTGTGATAAGTTGAGTAAGTTAAATCAAAAGCAGCAAGTCTTTAGCTGGCTTATAAACTAACGCTTTTACTAACTGCAAAATAGGTCTTCTCTGTGATTTCCGAGAACTTGGCTAGCTATCAGTAACATGTTGCACCATACTAGCCAATAAAGGGGGATGGAAAATGTGGATGCGGGGTGGGGTAGGTAGGAAACGAGTGGGCTAGGCTGGCAGAGAATGCTGAATGGACGTTCACTTGCATGCCTCTGGATTTTTTAAATTTATTGTTCACATGACTTGTTTTCTCTGCTTCAGGAAGCAGGAACAGAGCAGTAGAATCCACTGAATTGGTACACTTAAGCAGGCATGCCATTTAAATGAAAGCAGTTAACCTTGAATGTTCTATCACCAGAGTTAAAGAATTCTGGTGCCCCTTTCTACCTTTAGTCTTCAAGAAGTGTTTAGTCTCTAAACACTAAACTTTAGAGGCTTATCCACATTAGTTAAAATAGCCCATAGCCCCAAGACAATAAAAAAATGTAACTATTAGCCCCCTTGCTGCTTTCCCTTCACATTTCATGCTTGCTTTGGCTGCTAAACTGAGTTTTTTGTTACTTAGAATGCTATAAAGTGAGGATGCTTTGTATTGCTATTGGTCTAATTGTGATTCAATTTCATCAGGATGTATAAGCCTCTAATTAGTAATTCCATAATTGGCACGTCTGACTTTTGCTATCATTTGAGGATTCTACTGTATATAAGGTTCATCTAACATTGACATTAATAACCACAGGTATTTTCCAACTAATTGTTACTTCGTGTAATTGCCAGACTACTTTGAGTTCTCTTCGGTTGTAGATTTTCAGAGACCCATCTTCAATATTTGGACTTCGTTCTGGTAAACTTCCTTCTACCTATGTGCAGGTCCCAGCACTCCAGCCAGCACAGGCATAGTAACCAGAAGTGAATTGGCTAAATGGCAGCACCATTGGGCTTCTTAATCAAGCTTTAGGAGTTCTTTGTGGAAAAGGCACAGAACTGAATTCCTCAGGTTTTAAAAAAACTCCCATGTCTTGTTCTTTTTTAAAAATCTATTTGTTTTTATTTTTATTTTATTTATTTTATTTATTTTATTTTATTTTTTTGAGACAGAGTCTCACTTTGTTGCCCATGCTAGAGTGAGTGCCGTGGCGTCAGCTTAGCTCATAGCAACCTCAATCTCCTGGGTTCAAGCAATCCTGCTGCCTCAGCCTCCTGAGTAGCTGGGACTGCAGGCATTCGCCACCATGCCCGGCTAATTTTTATATATATATATTAATTGGCCAATTAATTTCTTTCTATTTATAGTAGAGACGGGGTCTCGCTCTTGCTCAGGCTCGTTTCGAACTCCTGACCTCGAGCAATCCACCTGCCTCGGCCTCCCAGAGTGCTAGGATTACAGGTGTGAGCCACTGCTCCCAGCCTATATACATTTCTTGTGATTCCAAGACAATACCATGTGGTGTAGGTAGTATTGTTCAAGTTATAGTGTTGAGGAGGATGAGGCTTAAAAGTTACATGATTTGGTAAGAGTCAAACAGTAAGTCATAGTACCGAATTAAAACCTAGTTCTGCCTTGAATATATTGTTCTCCCCAGGCTACCTCACATTGAAGAAAGCAATGTTCACCTTTTTCTTTCATTCACTTCTTTTTTGTTTTTTGAGACAGAGTCTCGCTTTGTTGCCTAGGCTAGAGTGAGTGCCGTGGCATCAGCCTAGCTCACAGCAACCTCAAACTCTTGGGCTCAAGCAATCCTTCTGCCTCAGCCTCCCCTGATTAGCTGGGATTACAGGCATGCGCCACCATGCCCAGCTAATTTTTTCTATATATATTAGTTGGCCAACTAATTTCTTTCTATTTATAGTAGAGACAGGGTCTCGCTCTTGCTCAGGCTGGTTTTGAACTCCTGACCTCAAGCAATCCGCCCGCCTCGGCCTCCCAGAGTGCTAGGATTATAGGTGTGAGCCACCGCGCCCGGCCTCATTCACTTCTTATCAGAAATTTCCTGGTCACTTATTTTTAAAATTAACTGTACTTAAAGCCCCAGGCTTTTCATATGTTGGATTTTTTGTGTTATGTACTGGTACTGCATAAAAAGATGGCACAGTTTTCCATATTTTAGAAATGAATTTGGGCCAGGCCTGATGGCTCATGTCTGTAATCCTAGCACTCTGGGAGCGAGTGGTTCGCTCAAGGTCAGTAGTTCGAAACCAGCCTGATCAAGAGTGAGATCCCATCTGTACTAAAAATAGAAACAAATTGACCAACTAAAAATACATAGAAAAAATTAGCCTGGCATGGTGGCACATGCCTGTAGTCCCAGCTAATCAGGGGAGGCTGAGGCAGAAGGATCACTTGAGCCCAAGAGTTTGAGGTTGCTGTGAGCTAGGCTGACACCAGGGCACTCTAGCTTGGGCAACAGAGTGAGACTTTGTCTCAAAAAAAATAAAAAAGAAGAAGAATCAGTAATTTGCCCTAATCACATAGCCAGTAAAGAGAAGGCTGGGTACCCAGTCTGTCTGGCTCTGGGTCCCAGCCCCTTACTTTCTGTGCTTTATTTCTCTTCATGTGGCAGCACTAGTCTGCAGAAATCTCACAACTGGTTTCCTCTTCACTTTACTACCAGCTGTTGACTTTTTGCAGCTTCTTGGGCTGTCTATATCTCTCTGATAAAAATAATTGAACTATTTTCTTCCTTTCCTTTCCTTTCCTTTCCTGTCCTGTCCTGTCCTGTCCTGTCCTGTCCTGTCCTGTCCTGTCCTGTCCTGTCCTGTCCTGTCCTGTCCTGTCCTGTCCTGTCCTGTGACTCTTGCCACGGTGTCAGCCTAGCTCACAGCAACCTCGATCTCCTAGGCTGAAGTGATACTACTGCCTCAGCCTCCTGAGTAGCTGGGACTACTGGCATGCACCACCATGCCCAGCTAATTTTTTCTCTATACATATTAGTTGGCCAATTAGTTTCTTTCTATTTATAGTAGAGACAGGGTCTCGCTCTTGCTCAGGCTGGTTTGAACTCCTGACCTCGAGCAATCCGCCCACCTCGGCCTCCCAGAGTGCTAGGATTACAGGTGTGAGCCACTGCGCTTGGCCTGGACTGTTCTTTTCTAATTGTCACGTTAGATGTGGTTGATAAACAAATAAAAATTTTAAATTGTAGGTATATAGGATGGCTATGCTCAGATAGACTGCACTGGCCAATCTGGTGGCACTTCCCTGTGAGAATGCTAATATAACCAAGAATTGGTACATTTTGTTTGCCTTTAATAGTCATTCTTCTGGCCAGGCGCGGTGGCTCACGCCTGTAATCCTAGCACTCTGGGAGGCTGACGCGGGCGGATTCCTCGAGGTCAGGAGTTAAAAACCAGCCTGTGCAAGAGTGAGACCCCATCTCTACTATAAATAGAAAGAAATTAATTGGCCAACTAATATATATAGAAAAAACTAGCCAGGCATGGTGGTGCATGCCTGTAGTCCCAGCTAGTTTGGGAGGCTGAGGCAGCAGGATTGCTTGAGCCCACAGTTTGAGGTTGCTGTGAGCCAGGCTGATGCCACGGCACTCACTGTAGCCTGGGCAATAAAGCGAGACTCTGTCTCAAAAAAAAAAAAAAGTCATTCTTCTGGTGCCCATACTGTTTTGAGGATGCTACAAGAGCAGATAGATTGTATAAAAAGGTATTTTCCTTTCTATGAAGGATAAAATAGACATACCTAGCAAAAAATAGTCCATTATCAAAGAAGCTTGGAGGCCGGGCGCGGTGGCTCACGCCTGTAATCCTAGCACTCTGGGAGGCCGAGGCGGGCGGATTGCTCAAGATCAGGAGTTCAAAACCAGCCTGAGCGAGACCCCGTCTCTACCATAAAAATAGAAAGAATTAATTGGCCAACTAATTAGTATATATATAAAAATCAGCCGGCGATGGCTCGTGCTGTAGTCCCAGCTACTCGGGAGCTGAGGCAGGAGGATTGCTTGAGCCCAGGAGTCTGAGGTTGCGGTGAGCGAGGCTGACGCCACGGCACTCACTCTAGCCTGGGCAAGAAAGCGAGACTCTGTCTCAAAAAAAAAAAAAAAAAAAAACAAAGAAGCTTGGAAAATAATTTAACAAATTTCTTTACTAAGGACATCAGGGCATTGTCATTAATTCTGGTACAGGTTACCAGATTGGAAATGTTTTAAAGTAATGGCTTTCTCATTGACCTAACTCCCGCTGCACCATTCCATGAAGGTAATGGAGATTCCTCAAGAGAAACCAATATTCTTCTTGGGCAATTATAAAAATTAAAAAATTTGATGTAAAACTTGCAAGTATTTTAAAATATTTTCTTACAAATTAGGGTCATCTTCTAGCATTCTGGTATGAGGAGGAACATACCTACTAATTAAGAGTATAGAATAAAAATATCAATTTAATTTTCCTACAAATTAGAAAGATGAATTATTTTTAAAGTTTATTATTTTTAAAAGTTAAATATGTAGATCTACTTTAGCTGTCTTGCATGTTCTGCTGGAGATTGGGCAGAGGTTAAGAAAACCACCGATCTGTTATAAAATTTAGGGTTCTAAGGCCAAACCACACTCGGAAATTTGGACATGAATGTGTGTGGTGGTAGCTATACTTTGGAAGCACTGGATTACAGTCAAAGGAGAAGACACTTAATAAAACAGTTTGTTTGCTAAAAATGTTTAACTGGCATGACTTGTCACTGGTTTTAAGAGGAGCTTCTTTTAGTTTGTCACAGCAAATACAAGTATAATAATATAGGAATTTTAATGTGGCTCTTCTCCATCTTGGAAAGCAGTATGTTGCTGCCAGTAAAACTCCTTTAACCTACGACTCATTTTCATCCCTAACCTAACAATTCCATGTTTAGAAGATAACTGAGCAGTATTTGAGTGCTTTAATATCTGTGGCTATTATATAAAAGAAATGCTTAATGAGGCCAAGGAATGATGCGGCCGATGAGGTGGCTCATGCTGTAAAAATATTTTAACTAAAGAATCCCCTTTGGGAGGCCAAAGGCGGGCGGTAAAAGAGTGAATTGTGCTACGAAGGATCAAGAGATTCAAAAAACGCAGCCTGAGCAATAAAGAGCGTATGACCAAAAGACCCGTCTCTACTATAAAATAAAGAAATGAAAAATACAATTGGCCAACTGATATATAGAATATCTAAAAAATATAGCCGGCAATCGGTGGGCTCATGCCTGTAGTCCCAGCCTAGACTTCGGGGAAGGGGTTTCTGAGGCAGAAGGATATGCAAATCAAGGGCCGAATATGGAAAGGGATATTTAGAAGTGGTTGCTGTGGAGGTCTAGGCTTGACGCCACCGGCACATCATAGTACACTCCTATACCGCCAATAACTGAGACATAAAAAGTGAAAGACTCTTGATCTCAAAAAAAAAAAAAAAAAAAAGTGCTTAATGAAATATGACAGAGGTAGGCATATTATACCCAATTCATGAATTGTTTGTATCAACAAAAATTCCACTTTAGTCATTTGACGTTGTGAATTTTGTCTTAATCACCGAGAGTGTACAGCTGTTTATTAGGAGCCTGACCTTTAGCCAGTTGACTAGTATATATCAATACGGTGTTTATGACTTCAGATTTAAAAAGAATGATTAACAAGGCATAGGAGTAAAATGATGGGTTGTGGTATTATTTACTGAAATTCTATATGTGCTAGAGCCGGCTGGAGTCTGTGGCATGCTCATTGGTAAGAGTTGGTAAGGACTATGCTTTTTTTCTCCATAGCTCTGTTGTGGGAAAGCTAGTCTCTTGAGCATTCTTGCTCTGAATGGACTGGAATAATTTAACTTTTGGTATTTTCCCAGGCTATTAGTGTTATCTAATGAGTGGCTTAAAGATACCAGAAACAGTAGCTGAGGTCTCTGCTGGCTTCTGGCTGAATGAATGGAAGCTTCTAGCCAGTGAATAAGAGGCAGCAGCTAATCTCTCTCATTCTGAATGATCCAGATTGACTTTTATAAGAGAGAAACATTCAGCCTTTTAATTGCTGAAGGTCTAACCCATAGACTATATAAGGTTATACTTTCTAAATCTAGGTTAGACTTGAATTAGACTATAACCACTGACTTTATATTCAGTTTAGATGCTAACTTACTTGGATTAGCATCTGCTTGTCCTGTGTCAGTATATAAGTTGACATGTTTATTGGAGTCTCTGACTAGTCAGAGGGTATCTTTAGTTTTATTCTCAATACCGAGGAATTTTTGTTTGTAGAAACTGAAGGCTCAGAAGAGGAGGATAAAGAAAATGACAAGGCTGAAGAAACACCACATGATTCAGTTTTTGAAAACAAGGTAAGTTGTTATTCATTCAGTACTGTTGTCTGCTTTCTTGTTGCAGGACTGTAGCTTGCTAGTATGGACGTGACAATTATAGATAGCTATCTCCTGGTTAGGAATTAGGGAGCCTTTTAGTCATGCCTAGGATGGACAGATAATTTGATCCTAGAGTGTCCTGTCAGTATATGACCCCAAATTTCACTGACATAATGTGATGAGTTAGGATAGAATCCTTGTAGGGACCCATTCTCTAGGTTATGAGGAGAAAGTCTAAAATTTTGAATTGCATGTCAGGTGTTTCTGGATTTGTTTTTAAGCCATACTATATACGTTTAGATTTGTACTATTAAAAAGATGCCTTGGCCGGGTGTGGTGGCTCTCGCCTGTAATCCTAGCTCTTTGGGAGGCCGAGGCGGGTGGATTGCTCGAGGTCAGGAGTTCGAAACCAGCCTGAGCAAGAGCGAGACCGTCTTTATTATAAATAGAAAGAAATTGACCAACTAATATATATAGAAAAAATTAATAATAATAATAATAATGGTGGCGCATGCCTGTAGTCCCAGCTACTCGGGAGGCTGAGACAGCAGGATTGCTTGAGCCCAGGAGTTTGAGGTTGCTGTGAGCTAGGCTGACGCTACGGCACTCACTCTAGCTGGGCAACAAAGCGAGACTCTGTCTCCAAAAAAAAAAGCCTGTCTTGTCCTTCTGTCTAATTACAATGGTTTGGATCTACTTTGGTCTCTTCAGGAAAACGAAGAGGAGGAGATTGGAAACCTAGAGCTTGCCTGGGATATGCTGGATTTAGCAAAGATCATTTTTAAAAGGTAAAACTTTTGGCTCAGTTGGGAGCTTGGTGGTTGAAAACAAAGCAGTTAGGGTTAGACAAGTACTGTTAAGGTTTCTGATTAACTTTCCTTCTTTTAGGCAAGAAACAAAAGAAGCCCAGCTTTATGCTGCACAGGCACATCTTAAACTTGGAGAAGTTAGTGTTGAATCTGGTAATACATTTTCCATTTTATGTTCTCTAACCTCCCCTATTCTTCCTTTAATAGCTTTTCTAGAATCCAGCTTGATTGATCATAAGTTGGGTGGTTGGGTTTAAAAAGACACTAAGTTTAGGTTTCCTGTAGTCCCTTGAACAATGAACAATCTCTTCTAAGCAGTACTCTAACTGAAAGTATTTCAGTAGATTGTGTGTGTGTGGGTGTGTGTTTTGAGACAGAGTCTCACTCTGATGCCCTGGGTAGAATGCAATGACATCATTGTAGCTCACTGCAACCTCCAACTCCTGAGCTTTAAGCGATCTTTCTGCCTCAGCCTCCCAGTAGCTAGGACCATAGGCACACGCCGCAACAACCAGCTGGGGTTTTTTTTCCTCCTTTCTTTTTGGTAGAGACGGGTCTCTTGCTCAGGCTAATCTCGAACTCCTGAGCTCAAGCAATCAAACAGTCCTCCCGCCTTGGCCTCCCAGAGTGCTAGGATTACAGGCATGAGCCACCATGCCTGTCCTTCAGTAGATTTTTAAAAGTCAATTTGATATTCTTTATATCCAAGGATCTTAGAGATAGTATTAATACAAATAAAAATGAAATGTAAAACAGGGGAGCATTACTGCAGGATGCATCTGAACTCTGGAAGTACTTTATATTAAGTGCTGTTCTTTTTCTCTTCATTAGAGAACTATATCCAAGCTGTGGAGGAGTTCCAGGCTTGCCTAACCCTGCAGGAGCAGTACCTGGAAGCCCATGACCGTCTCCTTGCAGAGACCCACTACCAGCTGGGCTTGGCTTATGGGTACAACTCTCAGTATGATGAAGCAGTGGCACAGTTCAGCAAGTCTATTGAAGTCATTGAGAAGAGAATGGGTGAGTGAGCACCAGCTGCTTCACGATAGTGTTGGTGGATCCAGCAATTGACAGGTATAAACAATGATTCTTTTTTATGGTAACTCTTACTGATCGCATTAACCTGTTATTTTTGTAGCTGTACTAAAGGAGCAGATGGAGGAGGCTGAAGGATCACCTACTGAATACAAGAAAGAAATTGAGGAGCTGAAGGAACTGCTACCTGAAATTAGAGAGAAGATAGAAGATGCAAAGGAATCTCAGCGTAGTGGGAATGTAGCTGAATTGGCTCTGAAAGCTACTCTGGTTAGTTTGGTTTCCTTTTAAAGTTTTGATGATGGCATGTTTGAGGGTGTGGTGGCTCACACCTATAATAATAGCACTCTGGGAGACTGAGGCAGGAAGATCACTTGAGCTCAGGAGTTCAAGACCAGTCTGAGCAACAGCGAGACCCTGTCTCTATTAAAGAAACAAAAATTAGCCAGGTGCAGTGGTATACACCTGTAGTTCAAGCTATCCGGGATGCTGAGGCAGGAGGATTGATTGAGCCCAGGAGTTTGAGGTTGCAGTGAGCTATGATGACACCACTATACTCTAGCATGGCAACAAGAGTGAAACTCTATCTCCAAACAACAACAACAACAAAAAACAAGCATATTTGGTATTCCTAATGTTAATGTTCCATTTACTAGGAAGTTTTCATCATGATTTGGTTTCCAGGGAGTTGGTGAGCTCATCATTCTTGTCATATAATGCTTAAATGAATATGCTGTGAAGCCCCAGGCTGTCTAGGGTTGAATTGTATCTGTTACTTACTGTGTGTGATCATTGGCATTTCTCTGCCTTACATGACCTATCTGTAAAGTGGGGATAATAAGGTTGAGTACCCTTATCCAAAATGCTTGGGATCAGAAGTGTTTCTGGATTATGGAATATTTACATTGTACATCACATCCCTGATCCAAAATTGAGCATCCCTAATCCAAAATCTGAAATGCAGCAATGAGCATTCTCTTTGAGTGCCATGTAAGTGCTCAAAAAGTTTCAGATATCCAGATTAGGGGTTGGGTGTTCAATGTGTAGTACATATGTATAAGATATTTCTGATAGTACCAGACAAATAGAAATTTCTTAACAAATATATGCAACTAGTTCCATTTCTGGGAACTCTGTAAGGATTACTGAGTATTGAGGGGTTTTCACCCCAAATTGCCTGGCTTTGCTTTTGGGTGCTGGAATATCAGGGAGCTTTATACCTTTCAGGTAGGATACAAGCAGTTTAATATCCACATTCTGCCTATGCCTTGGGTGGGGGAGTGGGACAGGTACAGATGGAGTGAGGGTGGATGATCTTGATACTGTCTGGAGGCCACTAGTATTTCAATTCTTAATCAGTTGCTTGGATGCTGGTGGATACCTGTTGTGAGACTATAGGTGGCCTGAGTTCTATCATGAAACCAACTTGGATTTGTCATCCCTCATGTAGGTGGAAAGTTCTACTTCAGGTTTCACTCCTAGTGGAGGCGGCTCTTCAGTCTCTATGGTGGGTATTTGGTTGTTTTGTCATTTAATATTAAGCCTCAATGTTGGTCTCATATAGCTTGTACATTGCTAATAAAGGCTTCCTTTCTGCCAGATTGCCAGTAGAAAGCCAGCAGATGGTGCTTCATCATCAAATTGTGTGACCGATATTTCTCACCTTGTCAGAAAGAAGGTAAATCTACATGTGGTTATTTCTTTTCTTCCTTTTTTTAAAATCCCAAATGATATATGAGGATTACCTTTCCTATAAACCCTCCTAACAGTTGGTGTGTGACGACACTCATTTTGCAAATGTGAGGGTTTTTGAGTGAAGGCAATTTTCACTTGAATATGTCTTCCAGCAGACTCTCCTGGCCTTTTCAGCCCAAGGACTATTAGGAAAGCTGCTGAGGAGGATTGGTACAGTCCATTTTAGGAAGCTGGCAGGTTTCCTTTGACAACAGTCATTCAGCAGCAGGCCTGCTGGTACAGACTACTGAATCTGCCTCCGCCTCTGCCTATGGTGCCAGTAGAGCTTTTTTGGGGGTGGGGGATTGGAGTCTTAACTCTTGCTTTGTTTCTTGACTCAAATGTGGGAATTCAAACTTACACTTTGGTTACTGTTCACATTGGCTCCTCATCCCCAACCCCACCCCACTGTGATTCCTGTAAGGAGGCTGAATTGATATGGTGGGACAGACTGATTTATTCTGCATAGTACAGGTTGGCATCTGTCCCCTGTGACTAGGGAGAGAGACCTTTAGAACCATGAATTTTGGTGTTTACGATCTTTGCACCAGAAGAGTGAAGAAAATGTTTTGTAGTTGTCTTTTTTAAAACATTAAGCACATTTGTGAAGGCTTCACAATTGTATCTTTAGAGGAAACCAGAGGAAGAGAGCCCCCGGAAAGATGATGCAAAGAAAGCCAAACAAGAGCCGGAGATGAATGGAGGCAGTGGGGATGCTGTCCCCAGTGGAAATGAAGTTTCGGAAAACATGGAGGAGGAGGTGGGCAGTTAAGCAGGGCTTGGCCTCTTGCCTCATCCCTTGTTCTCAGGACTGGGGGAACCCAGTCCTCCCAAGTGCATGCTCCCCACCTTGAGCCTGTTTGGATTGTTGAGTGCAACCCTCACAGAAACAGTAATTGTGCAGCAAACAATTGGTTATGGGAGTGTAGGATGACTTACTGGCAAATGGAACCTACATACCACAGGTCCCGACCCCAATGAATGTATGAGAAGGCACTTGATGAACAAGCAAAAGTGACCTAACGATCTTGCCACTTTCCATGTAACATGATTATTGGCTCTGTCAGCCCTCTTGTCACAGAGAATTCAGGAAATGGCCTTGTACTTTGTGGTCACTGCCTCTTAATATAGGGAGCAAAGCAGAGTTTGGGTGACCTGTGTGTTCTCTTCCTCTGACTGAGGCCTGCTCGGTTATATAACACGGAATGGCTTAAACTAGGGTCACTCATGCCCAGGCTCCATTTGTCTTCCAGGCTGAGAATCAGGCTGAAAGCCGGGCAGCAGTGGAGGGGACAGTGGAGGCTGGAGCTACAGTTGAAAGCACTGCATGTTAAGAGGGGGCAGAGCCTTCCTCCCAAGGGAAAGTGTTTTTGTATATAATGTATTTTTTCACTTTTGGGGGATTCTTTTTGTATAACTTCAATAAAGATTGTAAGCAAAGGTTCAGGCTTTGATGTTTTTTTCTTAATTATTGGCTGAATATGTGCCTTGGAGCACTCCAGGTTTTATACAGTGGCCAAATGTACTTTTTTGGCCTTCTCCATTGATCTGTGTTGGAAGTTCTAATCTCAATTCCTGTGTGTCCAATGTGGAAGTGATCAAATCAAGTGTGGCTGTAGGACCTTTGTCTTCCAATGGTGCTATATTTTTTCTGTTTTCAAATACTTGACTGAACCCAGCTATTTTGCAAGCCTTCAGTGGTGCTGTCCCTCAATGGTGGCTACAAAAACAAGGCTTGGTGTGACGATCTTGCTCTTCGGTGCTAAAAATGGATAATGGACTTTGGCTATGAGCCAGGCCTTGGGTGATACTTGTCTCATATACATCTACTTTTCAACTAGAGCCACAATCCTGTCCTGGAAAAAGAACTCTGAAGAAAAACTGGGGCTGGGGCGGGGGTGGGGAGTGATTCCTGAGGAAAACAGTCTGTGTGTTTAAATGTAGAGATTTGAGCTCTCTGGTTGAAAGTGGTTGTGGGACTGATGTGACAGACACTTTGGATGTGGTTGGAAGAATCTGTGGGGAGGCTGGCTGGTTGAGTTATATTTGTTATTTTCTGTATAGAAAGGTTGAAATATATCAACACTTGGAATTGTTACCCTGTCTGCAGTTTTCTCAAATAAAGATGATCAAAAACTCCTGGTCTGGAATTGTGTTTAAAGATACGTAACACCTGGGCTGCCTGAAACATTTCAGTGTGAGATACAGGGTTGAAAGGTAGAAAGCCCAGCAGTTTTGGGGGTACAGTCCAAAGATGTTGGTTGTTAAGGCACTGACATTAATGCCATCCCATTGGGCTGTCACTGATGTCTCCAGGGTGTAGGGCTGAGCTGCTTTTTACCTCACCTTTAGTTTAAAGAACCTGGGCTGGCGAGGTGGCTCATGCCTGTCATCTTAGCACTCTGGGAGGCCGAAGCGGGAGGATCATTGGAGGTCAGGAGTTCGAGACCAGCCTAAGCAAGAGAGACACCAACATCTCTGCTAAAAATAGAAAGAAATTAATTGGCCAACTAAAAATATATAGAAAAAATAAGCTGGGCATGGTGTTGCGAGACTGTAGTTCTAACTACTCTTGAGGCTGAGGCAAGGGATTTAATTTAATAATCCTGATACCTATGGGACTACTTTGTTGCACTGCACAGACAGGTAGGTTAGAACTTGCTGTTTTTAACATGCAAAGTTGAAGGCAGAGGGAGCTGTTTACCCTCAAGTCAACCCCATTTTCTAGAGGTTTTTTTTTTCTTCCCCCAAATAAATAATACAAGAGTAGTAAAAACTGGAGTTTTTCTCTGTTGGTCATAGTGTCTCATGGCTACAGAAATCTCTGGCTTATCTTAGCTTTGAACTTTCTTCCTGAAGATGCTTTTGCAGTGAATGTTCCAGGTCCTGAGGCTTTTTTTTTTTTTTTTTTCTTCTTTGTTGGTCAGGACAGTCATGATAGTCTTGACATCCTTTGGTTGACAGTGGGATCAGGGGCTAGGCTCAGTGTCTAATTTCAGCTAGATCTCACATGGGACCCCGTGCTTGTGGGTGTGGGGAGGAAAAACATTAGGCTGCAGCCCTATCCTGGAATCTATTTAGATTTAGATTATATATAAGGCTGCAGAAGCTTCCTGGTTATGGAACCTTGAGAGCTTGGGTTTCCTGGAAGAGGTACTCAGCAAACAAGAATTTGGATGAAATCTACGAATAAAATTGGCTTTAGCAAAAAGCCAAGTAGGAATTACTTTATCCTTTAGTTGGAATTAAAGGATGCCCCCAGTCACTTTTCGGACGACTTTATAAGTGCCATATTGTAAATACCTGACATACCCATTTAGTTCTCGCATCTATTTTACAAAAGCAGAACAGGTACTACAAGTACTTGTGAAGTGGTAAAGCTGTGGTTGGAGCTTCTGTTTTGTACTCATAACCGCTGTTTGCTTCCAGGCTCTGTGTCAGAACACAGTGGTAAAGCTGCAGGCCTGGGAACAGGCCTCCGTGCTAGGCCCTAGTCCTGCACATGCTCACACCCACGTTCACCTGGGTTTAGAAACTCATTGGGGGCGTGTTAAAGCTGAGGCGAGTGCCCAAAGCCTCTTCTCTATCCTTGACTCCACTGAGAGACTCTTCTGCTGGAGGTGGGGGATCAGCAAAGCCAGCTGTGGGGTTGAGGGAGTTGTCACCCAGTGAAGATGAGCTGGACACCTGTGGAATGCGGAGAAGGGGGTCTTAAGCAAAAATGTAGAGGTTAAGTACACAGATTTTGGAGATAAGCTACTTTAGCATCCCATCCCACTAAACTGTGAACCAAATTAATTTGGTCTTGGTTTGATTTCCTTATCTGTTACATAGTAGTATAATATTTACCTAATAGAGATATGAGGATCAAGTAAGTAATGCACAGAAAGACTGGCACATATTAACTACACCAGCCACACCTATGGTGTCCTTCACTCTAGTTGGACCCTCACCAGAGGTGGGTATTGGTACTCGTGGGCACTTGCTGGATTGATCTCTGCCAGTGTCTGGACAACTGCATCTCTTGCATTCACCAGCCGCAGGAAAAGCTCAGCCTGACCTGCCTGAGGGGAGAAGAAATGGTACTGCCTCTGTCCTTTGGAGTACGCCTAGTCCCCACCCTCCACACTCACCTGGGGTATCCCATTCATCTGTCCAAGGCTAAGGCTAGGGTCTGGAGGATGAGCCCGAAGTGGGAGGCGCCAGTAGCCACTTAGGACCCGCTGATCTTGGTCAAATAGCACAAGTGAAGCCCAAGCCTTTGGCTGTGGTGCCCTAGGCCATGCCAGTCCCTGCCAGGCCTGTAGTTCACAGACCAGGGATACTGGTGGTGAAGGTAGCAGTCTGTAGAATAACCAAAAAGCAGTGTCAGAAGCCAGAACTGCAGACCCTTTTCCTAGGACTCAGCCCTCAAAGCCAATGACTTCTGTATACAGATGAGAAAACAGCATAAAGAGGGACAAGCCTCAATTATGGCAGGGTACCACAGTCATGATCCCCACCTACTGACCTGGGCACAGGCTGCCTGCTGGCAAGGATGGCACAGTTGCCCACGGGCCCAGGAGCTGGAGGTGGGGGCAAGCAAAGGGCTGGGGGCAATGCTGTGGTCCCTCCTGTATCCTGGCTGTCTCGTGCCAAGCCAGTCATTAGCTGCACCCAAGTCCAAGAAGACTCTAGGCCCCGCAGGAAGTCATAGAAAATGACCAGGCCAGCCCTGGGGAACACAAATCTAAGCATGTGAACACCCAACTCTTCTCACCTTCCCTCCCATCTGCCAGCTCCCAAGTCTATCTGGCCCTAGCATTGGCCCAGTCATAGAGGATGCCAAAGGAGGGGGCAGGCCTCACCCAGGGTCGTAGGGTGCAGGACCCAGCACGTCAGATGTGGGCAGGAGGAAATGTGGGTTCAGGCCCAGGTTCCTGGTCATTGTTCCAGGAAGCTGTGACTGTGGGCAAGAGAATTGACTCTTCCAGAAATCCTTCTAGCTGCCCACGCTCCCCCACCTGCTCAGAGAAGAGCTGCCCGTGCCCCATTCCCAGTCCTCACAGCCTTTCCCAAGCCACCCAAGAACTGAAGGTCTGTGGAGCCTGGAAGTGGTGGCAGCGGCGGCGCCACTGGCGGCGGGAAGAGTAGGGGATCTCTCCTCCCCTTCAGTCGTAGGTTGGGACCCGCCAGGGGTCGCGGCTCCCTCGGCCCTAGGAGAAGAGGAAGAGTTAGGACTCCTCTGCAGTGGAGAAAGCAGGTATCTTGGCTGAGACACCATTTCCCCTACAGCCAAGCCTACAAATGGGTCCGAGAAGTCACAGGGTTACAGGGACACACACAGACCCACGGAGATGCGGTGGACACGAATGGAGGGGGCACAAACACAAGCCTCATTCCCTACGCACGGTCCCTCCACCCTCTCCCTGGGCCCAGGCTTGCTGGAAAAGGCTAGGTGGGAAGGGGTTGTGGTGCTTACTGACCCCAGGGCGCCCGGCCAGGGCCCCTCTGCATCTGCAAGGCCAGGATTTCGGCCTCCAGGCGCTGGTTTTCGGCTTCCACTATTAGAAGTTCCTCTGATTTGGCTCCTGTCCTTCCTGCCATAAACCAACGTTTGAGCTCCCTCGACAAGACTGGACTTGTCAGCTCACATTTTAGTCACTGTCACAAAGATCACCCAGGTTTCCTAGCTCGGGCCTTTTGCCCATGCCAATGACGCCCTCCCTCACATTCTTTTCTCCTCCCAGGGCTAAGGCAACTGATGCTGAGGGCCCCCCGGTTCACCCCTGCGGGTCCACGACCGTTGCATCTCCAGTGCTGATGCCTCCACTTGCAACTGCCACATCTGTCCCAGAACACCCGGGTCCCGACCCCCGCCTCGAATATAGGCCTCGCGCAGGGCCCTAGGAGTAGGGGACAGCAAGGCAGTCTTTCCAGGGCTCAGCAGCGCTTCGCCACACGCCCGTCTCCGGATCCCAGCCCTCACCCGATTTCGGCAGCCAGAGTCGCTGGTTTGGCCTGTAGCACCGGACAACAGAGTTCCGCCTCCTGCCAGGAGTTCAGTCGTGTCCTGGGGTGGGGACCGACGCGCCGGAGACACCATAAAGAACCTTAACCCCAGACCCACAGCCACCCGGCTCCTTCCCGCCCTCGCACACCGGGTCTTCCAGCTGCGCCTGCGCCTTTCGGCCCCCGCCGCGGGCCCCGCCCCCGCTTCGGTTCCGGCTCTGGCCGCGCGCTCGCGGTGCGGCTGCCGCCGGGTCTCACCCTAGCTCTGGCTGTAGCTCTTGAACGCGCGCCCCTAACACCTCTAGAGCTCCCCGTGTCCGTCCCGCCTCTGCCCGGAGTTCTCGAAGCTCCCGCTCCAAGCCGAATAGGCGGGATATCCCGCCCCGCGTCCGAGCTACACCTTGGAGGCACCGGCTCAGTTCTGAGGGAGTGTGGCGCCGAGTCAGAACGGGTCCGAGCAACCCGAGCCAAAGGGCGAGGGGCAGGGCAGGTCCTCAGTCCCCCCTCACCCTGGCCGCGGCGCTCCAGGGCCCGGCTCTGTGCTTCAGTCTCCGCCACGCGCCTTGCGCGAGTCGCCTGCAGCGCCCGCAGCCGCTCGCCCGGGGCCGCCGCAGCCTCGCAGGTGGGGCCCTGAGGCGGCTCCTCTGAACGTCTCCAGAGCGCTGCGGACCCCCAGGGGGCCTCTGTTATCCAGGGTCGCATTTCCTGTAGGGACAGCCGCAGCCGCTGCACCTGGAGGTAGCAGTGGTCTGCGATCTCTGTGTGTTCCAAGTACGATCTACAGGTTTGGGGACGTTTCGAGCCGCGGGGAGAGGCAGGTGAGTGTACCTCCTCTGTTAACCCCTTCAGCGCAGATTTACTGGCCTGCTCTTCTTGGAAGCCCCGGATTTCTTGTGGCACAACCTGGGGACAGGGCGTAGGATGATGAATCGTGAGGGTCTGGCTCACTTGAATACCCACCTGTGGCCATGAAGGAGACCCTTACCGCCGCTCCCTGTGGTTCAGGGGCTACTGAGGGCTGTGCTCCAAATGTCATCTCCTCAGTCACGCGGCCAATGCAGAAGCGCTGAGTATGGGTGGCTAACAGGGCCGAGGAGCGGAAAGCCATGTCACAGGTCTCACAGGGCAGGAGTCCTGGCTCCCCGGAGTGGGAGTCCATGGGATGGGAGCTGTTTCCAGACACCAGCTGAGACCTGCAGAAAAAGGGACAGAGAGCCGGGGAAAGGCGGAGGAAGATGAAAGAGACAGAAAGCCAGAGGCAGAGAGGTAAGGCCAAGTCTACTAGGTCTAGGAGAGCTTCAAGTTTATGTTTGGGGAGGAGCCTTACTTAGCTCCCTGGGCAGCAACCACAGGCCTGGGCAGGTCAGGAAAATGGGTGGGGAAACTTTGGCCACCTTTGGGAGGAGCCACTGGCTTGAAAAAGTGTCACAAAGTCTGTACTAACTCATTGCATAAACTTGGGCAAATCTCTTAACATTGCATCTTGTTTTCTCTGCCTATATTAATAAAAAGGCAAAAACAGCTGCTTCCTAGGCTAGCTGGGCCCTTACCACTGACTCTATCATTGGTCATTTAGTAGAGTGTGTTCCAGAGAACACCTGGGAGAGGAGGCAGTCTGCCCTTCTTGGCATTCTGCCAGGAAGTCATGTCTTTCTCCTGACTGAAAAGCTCTTCCTAGCAATATGCGTCTCTGGAAACATCCACAGCTTTTGCATGATCAAATCACTCTGGGGATAGTGGTGTTTCCCTAAGTCCATTCCCTCATTCCTATTTTTTCAGCTGTAGAAGGATCCACAATTAGTGTCATGATTTAACTGGCAAGTTTTCTCTTAGTACATAACAATGTCTTAAAATAGATGCCATGTTACATTCAGTGGAATATGTTAATGGTTCTTACTGCTCTGTCACAACTGTTTGCACATGGATTGCTCATACTACTAGTAATAGGGACTGTAATACAGTATGGCAGGCAGGATCCCTGGCTTTCTGGCCTTTGTAATCCAGCAGATATCCTGCTGGTCCCTCTGCCTCTTACCTCTATTTATTCCCTTTGGTTCACACCATCGGCTAGTTATCTTCCTAATATGAAATTAGGCTTATTATTTCTGTCTCCCATTAGAGCATAACCTTGGTCCTCTATATCTATTAGGGACTAATTACTATAGGGACAGCCAAAGAATGCCAGTGCCAGAAGTTTAACTTCTACTTGTCCATCAGATCTTGGCCTAAGGTTTCATCTTTTCTAAAATAACTGTTCTTGGCCGGGAGTGGTGGTTCACACCTGTAATCCTAACACTCTGGGAGGCTGAGGCGGGTGGATTGCTTGAGGTCAGGAGTTCGAAACCAGCCTCAGCGAGACACCCCCACCTACTAAAAATAGAAAGAAATTAATTGGCAAACTAAAAATATATATAAAAAATATCAGCCGGGCATGGTGCGCATGCCTGTAGTCCCAGCTACTCGGGAGGCTGAGGCAGGAGGATTGCTTGAGCCCAGGAGTTTGAGGTTGCTGTGAGCTAGGCTGATGCCACGGCACTCACTGTAGCCTGGGCAACAAAGTGGGACTCTGTCTCAAAAAATAAATAAATACATAAAAGAAAAATAACTGTTCTCTCCTCTACTGTGTTGGGTACTCTTTGGATCCCCATAGCCTTACGCAATGCCTAGGACATACAGCAGGGGCTTAGAAAATATTTGTTGAATGAAAACACCCTGCTTCCTCCACGGGGCACCCAGCCAACACAGGCTCAAGTCTTTTACCAAGTTCTTATTTAGGAGGAAAACCAAGGAAGAGACTTTCCTTAAAATATGTACGATGGTAAAAACATGGGCATTTGAAATGTTTCAGGAAGTAAAATTCGGTTTCTGACTTTATTACTGACGATTTATTGCACAGGTTTTTCTGCATCAAAAAATAATCTGCTCAACCCCCCACTAAATTTGACTGGCTAATAAAAAAATAATAATAATCTGCTAAAAGGAGAAACAGGTATGTGTGTCTGAATTCACATTTCCCCCAGGCTACTAAAAATATTTCTCCTAAAAAAGAATCCATTCATCTAATTTTGAAAATATACTTGTTGAAAACGTCACGGCGGGCGGGCGGGCCTGCGGGGCGGGGCGGGGCGGGCCTCGGGGGCGGGCCTCTGTGTCGTGTCCCGGGTCCCGTGGGCAGCGGTGCGGCGCGGCGCGGCGCGGCGCAGCGCAGAGCGGCGGGCACTCGGGCCTGCGGGCGGCATCATGTCCCCGGGGAGCGGGGTGAAGAGCGAGTACATGAAGCGCTACCGGGAGCCGCGCTGGGACGAGTACGGGCCCTGCTACCGCGAGCTGCTGCGCTACCGCCTGGGCCGCCGACTGCTGGAGCAGGCGCATGCGCCCTGGCTCTGGGACGACTGGGGCCCGGGCAGCTCCTCGGACGACTCAGAGTCGTCGAGCAGCGGGGGCCCAGCGCCCGGGTGCGCCCCGGCCTCGCCCGCGGAGCAGGAGGAGACGGAACGGGGGGTGCACGGGTCCCTGGAGGAGCAGGGCGCAGAGGCCGGGGACACGGAGGACGCGGCTCTGTCTTCACTGCCAGTGAAAGAAGAAAAACCTGAACAAATCAGAACAAAAGAGACCGATATATTACCCACCGGTATCGAACCACAACAACGAAGTGCCTTATTTGCCAGAGGAAATGGGAAAGCGGTCAAAAGTCCCCAAAGATCATCAAGCAAAATAAAAGAAAACAAGCATCCATTTGCTCTGTATGGCTGGGGAGAAAAACAGACCGACACAGGAAGCCAAAAAACTCACAACGTGTGTGCGTCTGCCTCTGTGCGTGAGATTCATGAATCAGCATTACGAGCCAAGAACAGAAGACGACAGGTGGAAAAAAAGAAACTGGTTGCTCAAAGGCAGCGTGCTCACTCTGTGGATGTGGAGAGCAGAAAGATGAAGTCTTCCTCCTCAGAGAACCCGTGGATGACAGAATACATGAGGTGCTATTCGGCCAGAGCGTAAAGAAACAGTCACGTGGACAGCCTCTTAAAAAGCGAGTGACAGAAGAAAATCAAGACAAAAACCATCAAAAGAAACTGGACACAGATTCAAGAAATCAACTGAATATGCAAGGTTTTTCTTAGAGAATTCCTAAGAGATTGTTTTATTTTGATGAATTATTGGTCACCTACCTCAGCAGTAGGGCAGACAGTTGAAGCCATAGACATTGGGTTATTTATGAGTTCCCTAAATCTTTGATATTCTTATAAGGGTTTAAAGCATCTTAATCTTTTAAAATACTGACACCAAATGCCTTTAAACTGGCTACAGATGCTTACAACTTAGGATTCTCAAGTTTATAGGTGGATTTCATTCTATTCTGATTAACTTTTCAGATTCCATAGCTGTAAGATGATTCCATCTGACAGCATAAAACTCATTTTGTTTATGTGAAGATTTCTTTGTAAAAGACTAAGTTGTAGATGAGTTTCAACAATAGTTTAAATTCCATGTATAATGAAACTAGAACTTTGGTAGTTCCCGAAAAATTAAACTTATTTGTATTTTAGTTCAGCATCACCTTCATGTAGATTGTGATATTTAAGAATTACCTGGGCCAGGTGAAGGTCACTGTTTCCCTTTTAAATTATCTAGGCACTTAATAGTTCAAATACATTCCAATATATGAAGCTCCAATGCAGTATGTGTGTAGAGTAGTAAAGTTTCTTTTGAGTCAAAGACTGTCACAATTTTCATTGCAGGATTTTTTAAGAACACACAATGTGGACTCAGTCACTTGTTAAACTCTGGCCTTTTGGAATATGCCCATTGTGGACTTTTGCCTTTTCACATTAATAGCAGGCAGTGAAATTTAGAATTTATAATCTGAAATTGCATTTAGCAAATTATCGTGATCTTTTGGCCAACTGGGATGGAGACCATTAAGATTAGACATGTTGCCCACCCCAACTTTCTCTGCTTTTTCTTCTTTCTTCTATAGAACTTAATAATGAAGTCTTGATGTGTAATATTGAGACTTCAGGTTGAAATACATTATTCTTTGATTCCTAGCCAGTAGATCTATCTACACCTTAATGTGAGAGAATGGTGGTGTGTAGATAAGCATAAACATATGTAAATTGTGCTGCTTCTCTTTAGCAAGTTTGTTTTGGGAGTAGAAAAATTGTTTTAAAAAACATTGGTTTCCATCAAACGAGTGCAATCTACTAGAAGAATGTGTGCTAAGTTCTTTAAAAGAGATAAGAAAGGTACGTTGCCTATGCCAATTTAGCCCCTGAAGATGTGTGGATGAAAATTTGGCACTAGATGTGAGGCTGAGCATTTCCTTGATATTTTACTCTGGGTGTATGAAGTGTAACAGTCAATTTTTAGAACACAGAATAGTTAACATTTCATTCCACATAAAATCTTCACAGTGTCATTTTAAAACTATATTAAGCTTTGAAAACATTGAAGTATTATGAGCTTTTTAAAAGAGCTTTTAAAATATTAGCATAGTTTTGAGGTAAATTATTTTACATAGAAAGCTCTCCTAATCACTGAGATGTATATTTAATAAGAGGAAATTCTACCTGTTGTCTGAAACAACCCTGCTAGTAATTCTGGTGAGTTTTGGTGTTAAACTATTATATTATTAAAGCCTTTAAACATTGCAGGTACCTAAAGATCACATTAACGTGGCAATTGTGATGGTGTAGCCTGTGAAAACTATTCCTTTAACATAATTTCTTGCATGTTTGGTGTCAGCCATCAGCTCAGGCATTTATGTTGTACCTGACAATCTTAGAAAAGATGGCCTTGGGGAGTTCAGGCTCACATTAATGGACTGCCTTAGAAACCTGACTTCTAGTCTTACTTTGAACAAGCCAGATTTCCTCTTGTTTAGGAAACAGATTTGTATTTAATGTGCTTACTACTGAAAACTCCAGATGGAGATAAAACCTAGAAGGCAAATATTGGCCAATTTCTTTCCCATTCTTTGTAAGTGGAGAACAAGATTACTAAACTACTTTTAATGTGCAAGAACAATGAATAAATCAGTATGAATTAACTGTGAATCTTCCTTCCCTTGTCCAAGTTCTTTGTTGGTTAGAGTTTCCTTTTTTTTTTTTTTTTTGAGATAGTGTCTCACTTTGTTGCCTAGGCTAGAGTGAGTGCCGTGGCGTCAGCCTAGCTCACAGCAACCTCACACTCCTGGGCTCAAGCAATCCTCCTGCCTCAGCCTCCTGAGTAGCTGGGACTACAGGCATGCGCCACCATGCCTGGCTAATTTTTCTATATATATTAGTTGGCCAATTAATTTCTTTCTATTTATAGTAGAGACGAGGTCTCGCTCTTGTTCAGGCTGGTTTCGAACTCCTGACCTGGAGCAATCCGCCCGCCTCGGCCTTCCAGAGTGTTAGGATTACAGGTGTGAGCCACCATGCCTGGCCTAGAATTTCTTTCTTTCTTGTTTTATGGGTGACAATTACCTTTTGAGCCTATGCAATTTTTTAAGTTGTTACAATGTGATGGTCCTACTTTTTCCTTCTGGTTTTAGAAACTAATGTGGTTGTAATAATGTTCCTAATTCCTGGGACAACTTGCAAGATAGTAACATAGTTTAAAATTACCTTTCAGGTTGAGAAAATCTGAAACTATTTGTGAATCCAATTATACATAAAACTTAAAAGAAAACATACTTCTTACACAAGACAATCCAAACTGATGCAAAATATTTATTCCAAGTTAGTTATTTTATGCAGTAGTTTCCCCCCTCAACAGACCTGTGATAACCACATCTTTTAAATCTGTAAATAATGTTATCAAAATAATCTTAATCTTTGAAATCTCACAAAAATTTATATTTTACAATCCACCCTGAATATCAAGGCTGCAAGAATAACACAACATTTCTTATATCCAAATATTTTACAGCTGTACCCAAAAAGAAAAACAAAAAAACAACCACATACACTTGGTTAAGGGCTAAAGTTACCCGAGCAGCCAAAAATAAAATAAAATACCCAAATTATTAGCATTAATTTAATACAATTATAACTTCAATAGTCACTTTGTCATTGACAATGATTGCTTGAGCACAGGGGTGAGTGCCCCAAGGGCTGGTAGTAGAAGCTGTTGCTGCAGACCAGTGTCTCTTCTCTGCACTGCCAGCTCCCACCTGTGCATCGCCCCATATGTACTGTGTGTGTGTGTGTGTGTTAAAAATCTTTCCCACCACACAAACTTCTCTATTAAGCAGGTAACAGGGAAGAACAACAAAAGCTAAACAAGCCAATCG